CGGCACACTAGTGTGCCGCTGCACAGTGGTTGAAAAACACTGCTCTAGAACAGTATGAAACATGATGTGAAAGCAAAAGAAAATCAAGATATATTAAGATAGGAACACCTTTTAGAAATTGGTGCTCATAATCAACTAGTGCTAATGATTTGAATATGAATATTTCTTTTTAAGATACATATTTTCTTGATTCAGGAAATGTCATTAGTATTCTTTTAGGATTAAATTAATATTATGTACTAATATTAAATTAGTATTAAAAAAGCATGCTTTTAAAAAAGTATTTGAATTGATGCCAGGATGGGAATCTCAATACTGTTGATATTATGTTGAACTCAGAAAGGGTAACATGGAATATTAATGAAAGAAGTACAGTGGATTTCTCTTAAAATTTGTGGCATAAACAATTCAACTCTTTATTGCAGGCAACACTAACATGGGGTCCTTATTTGTGGTTTCAGATGCTAAGAGTAGCCACATCAACACTTTCAGGTATGAGCTTGTTGTTTCTGTGTGCATACATAGGCAATAAATTGGTAAGAATCCAATGACATAGGCCAGCCAGTGTAATGGTAGTATAAATTAATGGGAGCTTGAATGATGTCTTTGAATGATGTTTCTTGAAAAGGAAATAATATTGATGAAATAATTCCATGCACTGTTAAATTTTGTTCTTTAGCCAAGAGAAGACATTCAGGAAATTCTGAAAACACTATTTCCTTAGTCACCAGGCCTGTTCAGTGTTCACTGAAGTTTAAAATTGGCATTAAATGCTATTTGTCTTCATAGAATAAATTGAAGCAGATTATAAAATAATGCCTGAATAATTAAGTGCCTCACATTCTGCTAAATTGGTATTTCATGGCTAATTCCCATCATGGCTATCATGTTATGGGAATGACTATAATGTGCTCATAAAATGTTGATTTTGTGTGGTTGTCTAAAAGTTCTCATTGTGAAAGTGTTCCCCGAGCGTTGATTGAAACTATACTCAATAATTAATCTGGATTATTCATAACATATTTATTTCATTTATTCAGTGTGCGACTTCCTTGGTGAAAAGATTGCCTCTGTTTTGGGCATCAGTACACCAAAATACCAATATGCCATAGATGAATACTACAGAATGAAAAAGGAGGTATGCTTTTTTAAAAAACCAATCCTTTTAGCAGCATAGATGTTGCAAAATCTTTTTCTGTAAATAATACTATTAATTTAATTGCTTCACAGTAGGAATGTACACAGATGATGTTTGTTTCAAAACAGAAAGAAGCACAGAGCAGTTGCTGCTACAGAATCATTCTGCTTGAGCTGTGATTTGCCAGCAATAAAAGCCAGGGCATTTTGTTGCTTAGAGTTTAAGATAAAACAAAATTCCCAGGCATCATGGCGGGATTTACTGAGCAAGTAGGGCAAAGCTGGTTTGCATCACCCCTTCTTTTCCTGCAGCAGATATAAATGCAGCATGTTCCACTGATCTAACCCCACCCCTTTTTTCATTCTCCTCCATCCTCTCAGCTGTTGCTAAGAATTTTCAATGTGGCAGATCTCAACACCCATCTTTGCAATAATTTCACTTTCTTTTCACTTTCTTCCGCCACCTTCAGTAACCATTGCTTTTTCCTATTCTTACTCCCCTTCCCCTCTAAACACTTCTGCTTAGAATGTTTGGTTGCATGCTTAGTTTGGGTATGACCCACAGCTATTGAAGAGGAATAAACAGCTATTTCAAACCCAGAATGGTTTGTGCAGATGCCATTTTAGAGACACTTTTGATCTTGTCAGTATTTGTGCTGACAACCATGACAGTTGTATTATCATTTCATTCAATATTGGAATGTTTTTGGTTGAACAGTGAAAGTCTTCCAATATTATTTCATTTCATTTTTTTATAAAGTTTTTATTTTTTTCATTTTTATAACATATAATCACATGTATACTATTATATAGCCAACATCATATTGTATTATTAAATGTATACATCGAT